CTCTGGTGGTCTAAGTGGGTAAAACACTCTCTTTGGATGTTGGTGGTTGTGGGTTCAAATCCCAACAGAGTCATACCAAACACTTTAAAAATATGGCACTAACAGCTACCTTGCTTGGAGTTCTGCATTGAGAGGTTAGTGTCAGGACTGGTTGGTCTGGCATCAGGATAATGTGACTGGGTGGGACATGATGCTACATGTCTGCAACATGATGCCCCAGTGGTAGACATCACTATAAACTGACACAATGCAGACATCATAGCAATATGACTGAAAAACTGTTAAAACTATATAAAAAATCAAAATCAAACACATGCTGTCTTGAAAGATCATTTTTTTTGCCATAATGGGTGGTCTTTCAAGACAGATTCTACTGTAATGAAAATAAATTTGGGTCAAAGAATGATCAGGAACCTGTGGATAAAGCTGTCAGATTTATGCAATACACTTTTAAAACTTTCTATTTCACTATGGCAAAATAATTACATATGATTCACAATGTAAACTCAAACCTTTTTGCATTCCCTCAAAACTAAATCAAGACACTGTGTGATACAGCTAAGACTAGAGGAGCATGATACTATCAAATATCAATTATGAACATGATGATACAAATATTACAATATTAATGTATTATATTGACATAATACAATATTAAAATGCTTTTTATAAAACTAGTATTATCAAAACATTATGATACAAATATTGGTGTTTGATGCAAATTAATAACAAATGGATCAAAACAGTAAGGGAGGACCAGTATTTCCTTGCAATTCTTAATTTGAAATTTGGTCGAGATAAAGGTCTGACGTAAACTACTTGATTAAGTTTAACAGTATTATCTTTTCTGATGATATAATTTTCTTCATAAATTCACAAATCTTGCTTTAGGTAAACATTTGAAACATTTTTTTAAAACTAAATTTCTTAACTTTCATAATAATGCCATATAATGAGTGTAATTAAAATAAAAATACTACTGATATTAAATTACAAGACTGTAGAATATAATATTGATATTATTAAATCAGAAGCCTGAAGGAAATACTAATGATATTATTAAATTACAAGACTGTAGAAAAGTGACTGATATTAAATTAGAAGCTTGTCATAAAGCTACTGATATTATTAATATCATGTCTGTAGGAAATAATAATATTACTAAATTACAAGCCTGTAGGAAAGCTACTGATATCATTAAATTACATGCCTGTAGGAAAGCTACTGATATCATTAAATTACAAGAATGTAAGAAACCTTCCTATATCATTAAATTACAAGAACTGTAGGAAAGCTTCTGATATCATTAAATTACAAGAATGTAAGAAACCTTCCTATATCATTAAATTACATGCTTGCAGGAAAGCTACTCATATAATTGAATTACAAGAATGAAGGAAAGCAACTGATATCATTAAATTACAAACCCGTATGAAAGCTACTGATATTAAATTACAAACCCGTAGGAAAGCTACTGTTATCATTAAATTACAAACCCGTAGGAAAGCAACTGATATCATTAAATTACAAACCCATAGGAAAGCTACTGATATCATTAAATTACAAACCCATAGAAAAGCAACTGATATCATTAAATTCAAAACCCGTATGAAAGCTAGTGATATCATTAAATTACAAATCTGTAGGAAAGCAATTGATATCATTAAATTACAAACCTGTATAAAAGCTACTGATATCATTAAATTACAAACCCATATGAAAGCAACTGATATCATTAAATTACAAACCCATAGGAAAGCTACTGATATCATTAAATTACAAACCCATAGGAAAGCTACTGATATCATTAAATTACAAGCATGCAGAAAAGGTACCGATATTATTGAATCGCAAGAATGGAGAAAAGCTATTGATATCATTAAAGTACAAGAATGGAGGAAAGCTATTGATATCATTAAAGTACAAGAATGGAGGAAAGCTATTGATATCATTAAAGTACAAGAATGGAGGAAAGCTACTGATATCATTAAAGTACAAGAATGGAGGAAAGCTACCAATATCATTAATGATATTATCAAATCACATGCCTGTAGGAAATACTAATGATATCATTAAGTTGTAGTAAAGCTATTGACATTAAATTATAAGCCTGAAGGTAAGCAAATGATATTATTAAATTACAAATGTATAGAAAATATAAATAGCAATCCTGTAGAAAAGCTGATATTATTAAATTAGAAGCCTGTAGGAAATACTACTTATATTCATAAATTACAAACCCATAGGAAATAATACTGATATTATTAAATTACATGTCCATAGGAAAGGTAATGGAAATGTTTTAGATCACAAGTGCAAAGAGTAACATCATGCATGAACAATAAATAATGCTTTGTCCTTTCCACTATAGTGACATCAGCATGAAATTCCTGGAATTTAGCTATAAAAAATTTCTTTCAAAGGTACACAACCTATACCCAATGATGAAATAGTAGAATTCAAACACTACAGTCAAAGACACTAGTGAAATATTATCACTGAATGAAAGTAGTATTGAAAAAAATCAGTTACTAAGGTGAAAAAACAATTCTACATTAAAATACACACCTGTCTAATTTGGACACATCATCTCTGTTTTTGCTACCATTGTCATCTGTTTTATCCAGTTCATTGCATACAACATGGTCCAATACAATTCACACATTGTGGAGACAAAACCAAGCTGAATAAAGGAATTTAATCTAACTTATAATACCCCAATGTCCAAAATCACAATTGTAGTGATTCATTATTTTATTACAAACATACACAACAATAGGCCACAATAGCTCTTATCAGCAAGTGATAGCTGAAAAACAAACAGTTCTCTTAGCCCACATTTCTTCAACAAAACAAAAGATTTTAAGAGTAGACCCTGTTAACCCAAGTAATGTAAACATTGGCTAACAATTCCCATCTGAGATAAAAGAAAAACCTGGCTCCTTGGCAAGGAAAATATGAGGTATTTGAACTGATTTCTTTCTATCATGATATATAAAAAGGCAGACAAACAAGGGCCTGTAGACAACATTGCTCACAATGAAAGCTGACAATATCATTTTTATCAGCGTGAATAATTTCTGTGAGGTCACCATTAGGGTAGGCGGGTAATCGAAAGGTGTATGGCAATTTAAAAATGGAATAAAAATAAGAACCTAACCTAGACCCCTTATTTGGAAGTGGTCTTTTTTTACCTTTCTTGAGCTTAGTATAAATTATTTTCACTGCCCCCCTCCTATAATTTCATTAAACAGCACTGATATATATATATATATATATATATATATATATATATATATATATATATATATATATATATATATGTATGTGTGTGTGTGTGTTTGTGTGTATGATCAAAGAATAGATTTATCCCAAAATATATTGACCAAAAAGTATAGATTTGTCCCTCAATATATATGACCATAGTATAGATTTATCCCACAAAATATTAACCAAAATATAAATTTATCCCACAATATATTGACCAAAGTATAGATTTGTCCCTCAATATATATGACCAAAGTATAGATTTATCCCACAAAATATTAACCAAAGTATAAATTTATCCAACAATTTATTGACCCATAATATATATGACCAAAGAAAAGATTTATTCCACAATATATATGACCAAAGTATAGATTTGTCCCATAATATATATAAACAAAGTTTAGATTTATTCCACAATATATATGACCAAAGTATAGATTTGTCAATTACAACAGATATGACAGATATGACCAACATATAAATCTGACCCACTGTAAACTATATACAGTATAATCTATGTATTTTATCCAGTCTTTAAATTATAACCTTGATTTACCATAAAAAGCAGTCAATAAATGAAAAGCATACACATTTCCTATTACCCCTCTTTTTTGTTATAGTCGAAAAAGTCAATTATGTAGTACAAAGTATACAGTACTCCTCATCATGCATTGTTCATAAAAGGAGTATACTGCATTAAAGTGACACCACTTTAGACAAATTATATAGTACTCCCTTATTATAGAATTGTGCATGGTAGGATACCATTTTAAAATGAAGTATACAATACAGTATTCCCTCACAGATGTATTCCTAGGAGGCATTGAGTATACTGCTTCATAGTGATACCATTTTAAAATGAAGTATATAATACAGTATTCCCTCACAGATGTATTCATAGGAGGTATTGAATATACTACCTTATAGTGATACCATTTTAAAATGAAGTATACAATATAGTATTCCCTCACAGATGTATTCATAGGAGGCATTGAGTATACTGCTTCATAGTGATACCATTTTAAAATGAAGTATATAATACAGTATTCCCTCACAGATGTATTCATAGGAGGTATTGAATATACTACCTTATAGTGATACCATTTTAAAATGAAGTATACAATATAGTATTCCCTCACAAATGTATTCATAGGAGGCATTGAGTATACTGCTTCATAGTGATACCATTTTAAAATGAAGTATATAATACAGTATTCCCTCACAGATGTATTCATAGGAGGCATTGAGTATACTGCTTCATAGTGATACCATTTTAAAATGAAGTATATAAACAGTATTTCCTCATAGAATTATTCCTAGGAGGCATTGAGTATACTGCTTTATAGTGATACCATTTTAAAATGAAGTATATAATACAGTATTTCCTCATAGAATTATTCCTAGGCGGCATTGAGTATACTGCTTTATAGTGATACCATTTTAAAATGAAGTATATAATACAGTATTTCCTCATAGAATTATTCCTAGGAGGCATTGAGTATACTGCTTTATAGTGATACCATTTTAAAATGAAGTATATAATACAGTACTCAGTCATAATAGAATTATTAATGGGAGGCATAGAGTACACTGCCTTAGAGATATCACCTTATAAAGAAGTATACAAAAACAGTACTCTCTTATAGCAATATTCATGGTAGGAGTATACTGCAGTATAATGAGACTACCTTATAAAGAAGTGTACAATGCAGTACTCCCTTAATATAGCTGCTTCAGTGGCCTAATGGTTAGAGCATTCACATTGGATGTGGAAGGTTGTGGGTTTGATCCCCGGTTGAGTCATACAAAAGACTTTAAAAAATGGTACTAACAGCTTCCTCACTTGGTGCTCAGCATTAAGAGGTTAGTGTTAGGACTGGTCAGCCTGGTGTCAGGATAATGTGACTGGGTGGGACATCATGTTACATGTCTGCGGCATGATTCCCCAGTGCTAGACATCACTATAAACTGCCACACTGCAGACATCGTAGTGATATGACTGAAAAATTGTTAAAGCTACGTTAAAAATCATAATCACATCACATCAATATAGCATTATTGTTGGGTAGCATGGAGTATACTACCATATAATGATACCACCTTATCACAAAGTACATTAAAATTTTTACTACCCCAATACCATACAATTAAATGATATCCATGACTAACTATTCCCACTGTATAACAAGAAATGTATTACAATAAAGGGTACTACAGTTGATCCTGGTAAAAGATATAAGATTTGGCACTGACAGCATATTAAAATCTCTAGAAAAGATATTTCAATCATATCAATTCATTTTGTCCCAGTTACACTATATTCTCATATTTCTTCATCAAAGTTTGCGTTTTGTTAAATAAATATTTTTTGTCACTGCATGGCTGGCAACAATGAATTTGTCACTTTATGCGTAGCAAATCAAGGATTCGATGTTTTGCAAATGTAGTAATATTATCATAAAACCTCATAAAGTCGTAATCTCCAGGAAAAAAATTCAAACTTTCCCATATTTTAATTTCTCAATACTTTTTATTAAAGATATGCAGGCTTTAAAGATATGCAGTCATTTTAGATAATAGAGTTGCATTTTACCCACTAGCTCCACCTATATTATCCCAACAACCTCTGCATCGAAAATCAAATTTAAAAAAAGTATGAAAAGAATGAAAAAATAAAAATGCATTTTGTGAAGTTTTGAGAATTTTTGACAAATCAAAACAGGCTTATCTTTCCTGACACCAAGATTAAAACTACAAAAATTTTCAATTCTGCTTCGTATCTTAACACAAAGAATAATCACATGTAAATTTATTTAAAAGCCAGTTACTTTACAATATATTTACAAAACATGAATCAGGTAATAATTTATTTATGCATCTAAACAGTCAGTATGTGGATTCTAAATCCAAAGTAAACATGTCCCCTTTACAGACTAAATAAAAACAAAATCACTGAAATGAATTATGAAAATGGTATTCCCAAATTACTTATTATTTTTCCCCTAAAGATAGATCACCTGTCCAGGCAATAAAAGAAAATATGGATGAACAATGAGTACCATATCTCACTGTAAAAAAGACAAATGGAAGAAATAATATCTTACCTACATCCAATTCTTTTAAAGTGTTTGCATAAGGAAGTACCATATGACCCATGATTTTTGTTAGGTGCCTGAAAGTGAAACTAGAATAAAATCAATGATTAGACAGGTAATTTCTAGGAAGCCACTGTCTCCAGGAGCATTGTAAACAATAATTATCAAGGAGATAAAAAAACTAAAATATAAAGTGATTTTGACAACAAAATGTTGACTACTTTCCTAACTAGTTTTCTTGCAATTTTTCACCTTTAAATTTTAAGAATTTAACATTTAATTAACACTTTTTACCACAGAATAATCTAGAATGTTTGATTGCAGGATTATGTGATTGCAGGATTTTATGCAATTCCAGGATTTATGCAATTCTAGTTTTTTACACAATTCCAAGACTTATGCTCATTTCTAAACAAAATCACACCAAAGAAATCAACCAAATCAAATATAATAGTGAATCATTTCCACAAGCCATTTCTATTATATTTTGATTTCATCTACATTTTAAACTACCCATCCCTTAGGCATCTCAGACATGCTGAACATATTGACATAAAACTGCCACACATTGTGTTTCAGTAGTTATATGGTTCCTGGGTAGAAAGCTGTATAATCCACATGGATATAAGCTTTCTCAGTCTGTAATAAGAAATATGGGTCCCACAAAATAAATGGCAACCCTTCTAAATGAGGCATGTATTAAAGGCATTTGGCCTAATTGTACTTTGTTTGGTCTAATTGTACACTGGCCCAATTGTAATTTATTTGGCCCAATGGTACTTGGTTTAGCATAATGGTAATCTGTTTGGCCTAACTGTACTCTGTTTAGCATAATAGTACTGTGTTTGTCCTAATGGTACAGTATTCTGTTTGGCCTAATGATACTCTGGACTCTGTACTTGGTCTGGCCTCATGGTACTCTTGCCTAACTGTACTCTGTTTAGCCCAATGGTAATGTTTGGTCTTGTGGTATTCTGTTCAGCCTCATAGTACTCTGTTTACCCTAATATGTACTCTAACCTAATGGTACAGTACTTTGTTTGGCCTAATCATACTCTGTTTGGCTGAATAGTACAATACTTTGGCCTAATGGTACTCTATTTGGCCTAATGGTACTCTGTTCCCTTTGACATAGACTTCTGACAAACACTGCACAATTGACAGATTCTGCTATGCCACTATTCATGTTAGGCAAATCAGATTTGGTAAGTATTTAATTGGCTATTTTTTTTTTTCATATCTAAGTGACATACCATGCTCAACTCATACTCCTTTCTAAACATAAAGGACCTGAATTTCTGGAGAACAACCAACTGGAAGAATCTTCTACCATCCAACACGGTGGATTCCCTGCACATTAATCCATTCTTGCATAAAAGGTTCAAATTTACCTATCTTTGCAATATTTCTCAGTACTGGACACAAAGATGAATCCTGTCACACCTCCTGCATAAATTAATTGCTCATAAGTATGGTACCAGATTCTGAACTTTCAATTTGTACATCAGCCATTTCCCATATGTGCATGCAATCTAGTGTCAACCACCTTTACATTGGGAAATGAGACTGGAGCCCTTCACAATTTCAATTGTTAAATAATATATGAAGTTTTCAATATTCAGTGCTTCAACAGTTCCAGTAAGGAAAGACCTTATTTTCTAATTTTTGTTGTTGTTATATAGTTTAACACTATTTTTCAGCATAAGATAGGCTATACATAGCAGCCAGTATAAATAGTGGAAAACTCTGGAAAGAACCACCGACCAACGAGAAGCTGCTGGCAAGCTTTCTTGCATACCCACATTGGCTTAGCCTGAGACTTGAACCCACACAGAGTTGAGATGTCAGTGATCCGTAACAGTAAGAGCTTTAGACCACTCTGCCACTCTGGGACCTCAATTTTTGTGATGGGTCAAACAATCATTAATCTGATTTAATAACATAAAAGAGGAATTGCAACCAAGCATTTCTCATCACTTTACCATGATGCTTGTACACCTGTTGTTGGATAAAAACACTAGTTTGTGACCACTTATTTGTTGGTACCCTAGCCTCAGGGAAGAGATACACAGATCAAATGAATAACATCTGAACCAATTTGTATATATGCTGTATACTCATATACCATGCCCATTATGTTTGTTCCTGAATTATCACACAGAAAATCATTTATCTTCTGACCAACCCCTGCTTTCAGTAGCAACCACAACTCTTTGGACAATTCTCTATCTTTTAAGACAATTGAATCTTTTGATGCCATGTTCCTTACATGTGTAACAATATGTATCATTGCAATTCACACTTTCGAAATGTTCTCTTTCTTTCCTCAGCTTGTGCATCTAATTATAATCTTCTTCTCAAAAACTATTTTTCTTTCCTCAAATTCCATTTTATCCATCTATCTCTGGGTTTTCTCTCTCTATAACCCTCATAATTCAGAGTGGCATGGTGCGAATACTAATGGGTCCACTATTAAAAGAGTAGTTCATGCATGAGAAATTACCTCGATACAGCTGAACAGCTATAGCCTTATAAAAAATGCATGAAGTCCACTCTTCTAATTCTTTTACTCATTCATGTTGGTCCCCCCCCCATGGCCAATTGGTTTAAGGCGCTTGCCTTTACCGATCATTGCCATCTCACCTCCGTCAGCATGGGTTCAAGTCTCGGATGGGTGAGAAAGCTTGCTAGTTGCTTATGTGGTTTAGCAGTTTTTACTGGGCTTTTCCTGGGTTCTTCCTCCACAAGTTATACTAGCTGCCATCTATAGCTTATCTTGCACAAAGAAACAGCATCAAACTGCAAAACAACAACAAAGCACAGATAACTAGTTGAGACTAACCTATCACAATATACAATGCACAGCCAGTGCATAAAAATTAACTCTAATTTTCATCTGTTTCATGAATAAATACTTTAAGAGTGCATGTCTATTTTGGATTTTTAACATAGCTTTAACAAGCTGAGACATATTATGTCTGCAGTGTTGCAGTTTACAGTGATGTCTAGCACTAGAGCATCATGCTGCAGACATGTGGCATAAGATCACACAGGTCATATTGTCCTGACATTAGGCCAAACAGTCCTAACAATAACCTTGTAATGCTGAGTGCCAAGTGAGGCAGCTGCTAATCACTTATACAAGTCTTTGGTATAACTCAGCCAGGGTTCAAATCTATAAAAAAAATTTGTGAAACCTACTCTTGGAACCTACCACTTTTTACTGTCGAAAGATTATTATTACAGATTCATTGCAAAATGTTAACATTTGATCAAGATACCATATATCACTTGTAAGACAAGTCCAACTGCAAAAACTACAGACCTAGATCTGCCATCACATAGTGCATCAGCAGACCTGGGTCTTTGCAGTTTGAGTAATCAGTAGAACAAACAACATAGACCCAGATCACTGGTGCATTATGCTACAGCAGATCAGGATCTTTGTTGTTGCAGGTTGACTTGACCTATGAGTACATACAATAATGCAAAATACTGCCCAGAAATGTATACCAGTCAATTAGTATTTACTCCTACTTCCAACTGCTAGTTCAGAAAGTGAATAATGTATAGGCAAGAATTTATGGCACTGAAAAATCTATGTGGTCATCAGCCAAACATTAAGCCTCCCTTAGCAAAGCATCAAAATGTAGGTCTCAGTGACCTTCATTGATTGTAAGGATGTAGTTCTAATACATATGCATCCAACATGAATATAAATAGCACCCAATAAAAGAACTTTAAACACAAAATTTCAACAAATGAAGCATGACATAGTTACAGATATGAAATTTTGGAATAAGAGAAACAATTATCAAGATGTGTCACCTCACCAAGTTTCAAGATTTTAGGAAGGATAGAATGATAGGATAGTACACACAAATCATGTCAAAAGCAGTCATGAGGTAAATGCATGATTAATCAGAGCCAGCAAAAAATATGAAATATAGGTCACAATGAGCTTCTTTTGCTGGAAAGGTATGGTACAGATATATATATATATATATATATATATATATATATATATATATATATATATATATATATATATATATATATCACCATCAATTTCTCGATTCTGGTGTAATCAGTACCTGAAAACTGAACATCAAATACAAAATCTAACCAAGTCAATGAAGTGTAAAATATGGGTTTTAATGACCCACTTCTGCAACAAAGTAGTAGTACAAATTAAAGATGCATCCATTCACCAAGTTTCATGCATGTACCAAGTTAACCCATTCCAAACTGTTGTCTAGGAGGAAAAAAATGTGTGTGATACAGTGAGGCTCTTCATACATACATGTTTTAACAGTATGCACCTTAAGAATGGTTTCACGAATTTCCCAAATTATCTTCAAATTAATATTTTGTTTATCAAGAAGAATAACATTTTTTCAGACTTAATTCCATGTACATAAACAGTACATCGGTAATATACACACATTCAGCAATAATGTACAATGACAATATGAGGGTGTTAGCACAAATAAATGAATACAAAATATAGTTTTAAAAATACTCACTAGCTTCCAAACACAAGAGCTGCATCCTCTACAAGACTCCTCTATTAGCTTTTGGTGCAAATCAGTAGTTGACCACTCCTGTGGCCTAGTGGTAGAGCATCCACCTCAGATGTGGGAGGTCACTGGTTTCATCCGCAGCCAAGTCATACCAAAGACTCTTAAAAATGGTTCTAACAGTTGCCACACTTGGTGCTCAGCATTAAGAGGTTAGTGTCAGAACTGGTCGGCATGGTGTCAGGACAATGTGACTAGGTGGGACACCATGCTGTATATCTGCAGCAAGATGCCCCAGTGCTAAACATCACTATAAACTATCACACTGCAGACATCATAGCGATATGACTAAAATTGTTTTAAAGCTGTTAAAAATCTAAATCACACACACACACATCAATAACCCGCATTTACACAAGAATTCCTATTCATGACAGTAAAGAATGTGCTGTCATCTACATCAGAGACTTGCGTAAAGGGAGGTAATAATAAGTAAATATTTCTATGGACATGGCCTGCAAATAAAGACCTGATTACCAGTAAAGTAATACAGTAATAAATGAATTTATTTTTTACAATTTTTTTTTAGTGCTATTTCCTGAGCATTTGAGTAATCTGGTGACCAGATGAGCATACATGCATTCTGCAATCTCTATCCAGAGTTTTATGTATGCCTTAGAACACCAGCATTCCTAGAGCCCCTCTCCAGAACATGGGGGTTCATATAGAACAGATGCAGCTCCTGATGAAAATAAGCAAAAGTTCATTGAAGGAATAAAATCATAATTCAAGGCAAATCAAATTTTAATTACTGTCGTGTTGTTTGATTTCAAGTTTCACTTTATCTTCTTAATTTTAAAATATATGTATTCTTTAGTTTTGTTTATAAAAACCTTCTTGCCAACTTGGATCTTTTTCTTATAAAGCTTAAGGGAATTTATATATTCAAGGACTGATATTTTACCAAACTTAGGATCCTGGGATTGTTTTTGTTGGTCATCATCGGCACTGTATCTAAACAGACTGGATCCATTACTAGCATGTGAAGGTCCAGAAAGAGCTGAAAATCCCTAGAGTGCTTTGCTGCCCTGGATCGAAATATAGCATGAAAAAAGGGGTTAATATATACTGGTAATTAAAATTTTATTTATGGTATGCATTTCATGAAGCCGTTTTATCAACATTTCTCTCTATCCTGTTGGATGTACACACTGCACGCCATTTGATGATTTACAAAGTAACCCAATCTGTGTAGGGGCAACTGTCAAATTATGAAATTACTTGTAATCTCATTAAAAACTGAGATAAGATTTAATTGTCATGAAAATATACACATTGATGAAAATATTCATTTTAATTACTGCCAGAATCAAAAGCTTAATTAATAGAGAACCAAAAGGAAAACAAAATATATGGTTCTCTACTGTAATATTTGTAGTACAACACTAGAAAAGGTTCAAATTGGCTCAGGGGTATTACCTAAGGGAAGTAATTTTTATTTTTTACAACTAAATTTTTGTTGATCAAAAATGTATGCCCTCTCCACAGAAACTACTCAAAAAAATTAGTAAAGGAAAATAAATGCAAAACTTGAGAAAAATTTGAATGACATAAAAAAAATAGGTATCAACTTAATTGTGGCATATTTTGGGATTTGTTTGCCAAAACATCCTCGAAGTCTACAAAGCTCTTTTCTGCACTGAATTTCCAAGATTCCTCTAGATCTTCTCACAACATTATCGCTATCTGGACTGTTTGGACCTGACCTCTTAATTGAGAGTTGGGGGTCTTAAAAAGTTTTTTTTTTTTTTAAAGTTTGCACCAATTTATGGAAAGAAAAAAATCAGAATAGACAAACACAACAGTGCATTTTGAAATTGTTTAAAACTTAAAAAATATCAAACTAATTTTATATTTGTAACTTTTTATTGGTGGGAGTGGATCAAAGCTTTGTGATGTCATATGATGGGGCTTTGTTTTTATGACAAGGGGTGAAAAAATCAGCCAAAATTATGATGTCATATATATAGAAAGCCAACATCTTCAGATCTTCAGGAGCCAGGGTTCCAATATGATAACCCTATATAGACCTTGGCAGATTGAACATATATATTGGTGTATTGTCCAAGCAATATTTCTTGGATTTCATGAGTTGTCTCTCTTAGTATGTAATGCCAACTAACCAACAGCATGGTACATTTTTCATCGACCAAAAATGGTGGAGGCCACTGACCTAAAAAGTTGCTTTGTAAGTTTAGCATTGAATGTATGACTATGTACCAGAGGAAAGTTATTGCAGGTGTATTTGAGTAAAACACGGACCTGCACTAAAAATTGCTTAGTTATCTGTCCATTCAAGTTGTGTGATCGCCTTGTTTCGATCATGTAAGAACAATGTTCAAATTTGAACAACTTAATTTTGATTGGATGCGATGGCTTGCCCACCGCATCAAATGAACTTCACAGACCCGAAGCACATAAATATCTGCATGATACGCCAAGGTACAGATAGGTGTATCTCAACGAGATTAACTTTCCAAATCTCTTAACACGGCGTTGGATTGCTGTTCCATGGCAACTGTCCAAATCTCTAAAATGACGTTGGACGGTCGCTTAACCCTAATATAACTGTCTAAATCTCTAAAACTGGAAGAAAGAAACGGCCAATGGAGAAAAAAGGAATAGGCCTAATTGGAGTTATCCCGAAACGCTCCCGTTATTTTGTGTTAATGATATAAAATAATCTTCTGATACTAAGAAGGGATGAGCTTATCCTCAACTGTGCGCATGAAAGCTCGTGACATTTAAAACACAATAATTTCTTATTGAAATAACAATGTTGCAATCTTTAAATTTATCTGCAGACCGCTCGCAGACGCTCTCAACGATTGGTGTAATATGTCCCAACAGGACCGAAACAGTACCGGTCATTCGCTTCAGTAGGAATAACAGGAGTATAAATTCTGCAAATGTGATTATTTTACATCAATGCTTGTTAAAAAATTGTATATTTTTTTTAAAAAGAGAATATAATTTTCGCAGATTTAGTGAGTAAACTGAATACACTAAAAAAACATTGTAAAGGTAGTGATAAAGTAACAATCAGTCGATCATCAGAAAATGTAATGCTGTTATATCATTTTCCAAAATTTTCCAAAGTGAAAAATAGAAACATTTAATAAAGACTTACAAATTATTTTCATTGTATGCACATTGAAAATCAAAGACAAATCTCGCTGCTAAAAGGAAAAAAAAAATATCACTCTAGAAACATGGGAGGAGGGATACATACCATAGCTGGTTGGTCATATCTAAGGACGTTTCTCTCATCGTTAATAGTTGTCCAGGTCGAAAGACTTTTTCGCCACATTATATGGTTGGCCACATCTAAGGGCTTTTTCCCCACCTTAAAAGGTTGACCAGATCTAAGGACTTTTTTCTCCATCTTAAATGGTTGGCCACATCTAAGGAATTTTTTCACCCCGTTAAATAAGTTTTCAGCCAACGTTGGTTCTAATTTATTGTAATATACGGAAGGATAATGCGATACATACTGATTTTTCCGTTTGCCTTTATCGAAATGACATCATTATAAAGGTAACTTTGGATTACTTTTCTGCTTAAAGTATCTCTGACATATTTAAAAGTATTACAAGCTGGTGTGATAAGTTACAGGAAAGTTATCATAAATAACAGATTACAAGATTTTTTTTATTGTATTTCTATTTTTTTCTTCTGCTTTCCTTTAAATAAGGAATTTTATTCATGAACTGTGGATAACAGCAAGTTTTATCTTTTGTTTTTTGTTGAGGGGGTGTCTTGTTTTTTGTTGTTTTTTTTCGGGGGATCGAACACTTACATGGTTATCTAGTCACATGCGTATGTAGGTAATATTGATACAACACAACTACTAATTAAAGTTAAAATAGCTTGATCTCATATGAATGTGCAGTCTACGCACAAACAAATAGTTTCATTTCATATGGATGGGCTATCCACGCACAATAAAATAATTTGATCTCATATGCATGGGTTGTCCACGCACAGCAAATAAAATAAGAACTAAATTCCAAGTTACATCATTAATTTATAGATTTTGTAAAATAAAATGTGCAACATAATTTCCATACACTTTATTAAAGGAACACTACCATACTTACGTGATATTGAACTATTACTATTGAAATAAATGCAATTAATCATATTCTACAATTGCGGTACGTCAAATTCATCATTTAAGATGGAACTCTGGAAAATTTGATATCAACGACACAGAGACTGATATTTTAGCGTAAGCCTGCAGGAGCTGAAAATATTATTTATTTTACATCCTTGCAGAGGTTTATGATTACACACACACACACACACACACACACACACACACACAGGTAACATATGTTAAGACATTTAACTGCATATATTTCCACACTCATACTAAAACAAAATTAAACACAAAATTGTAATACGCGATGCGTTCAAAACAACAGAGAGAGAGAGAGAGAGAGAGAGAGAGAGAGAGAGAGAGAGAGAGAGAGAGAGAGAGAGAGAGAGAGAGAGAGAGAGAGAGAGATAGGATGACCGTGCAACAGGGCCACGGACAGGGTAGGACAACGAGGCAAAAATGCAGGGGTCCAACAGCCGAATAGATGTGAAAACTCTTCCCAAATCAACTTTTTTTTCCTTAATTTTGTGGTAGTTCTTTCTGATTCAGGGTTTGGTGAATCTTCTTAAATTGTTCAAGCCCAACTTTTGTTCATGGAATATGTATAGTGAATATGTATAGTGAATATGTATAGTTCGATGACTAGTTGTCTGAGTATGTTAGACCTTGTTTCAATGAATCTGAAGGACGTTGAAATGTACTGACTACTGCATCAACGTCTAATCAAAATCTTCCAGAGCAAACTAATAATATTTGGTGTTCATTTGTTTGTAGCTTTTTGCCTTGTAGATTGAATCAACTTATGTTTCAATGTTATCTAGTTTCTTTTGTTCTGTCTTATCTTTTATCAACTTTACAGGGCATACCTTACACTGTAGTAGCCTTATCAGATTTTGTATGTGCACCATTTGGTTGTTTAACTGCTTTGTTTTGATATGTAGTTTAATTTTCATCTCTGGTCATGTGACCAACATAAATTCGCATGATGTAC